TGCCGCCCGGACTGATGGAGGCCGAGGTCCGAGTGCTGGGGCTGGACGTCTGCAACAGCTCCTGGAGTGGCCTCCTGAGCGGTGCCATGTTCTGCACCCACAGTGGGGACGGTCACAGGCGGGGCTTCTGCTCGGTAAGATCCCCTCCCAGCTCCACCCGCTTACTGTATGGGGAAACCAAGGCCCACAGAGAGGGGCAGGGCCAGGAAGGGCCTTGGGAACTGAGTCCCATTGATGTTGGACCAGACCTAGAAGCTGAGGCCCAGGAAAGGCAGGGAGTTGGTGAGGGTCACACAGGGCTCCCATGTCCGGCTGTGCAGGCTGTGCACTGCACAAGCTACCATGCCCTTGGGTATTCATACAAGCAGTGCTCAGCAGAGGGTGGTAACGTTGAGAGGAAGCAGCTCCCACTCATAAAACCCTGTCGGATAAACGACTCCCCTGGTGCCAAGGCAGACACTGGGCCCGGAGGGTCTCTCACCGCAGGCAAGAGAGAGACTTGGTTCAGGCCACAGGCTCTGGAGCCAAACAGCACAAGTCCAGGAGGAAGGAGACTGCCCACCTTCCCCATGTGTGGCCTTGGAAAGGTCGCCCGACTCCTCTGGGCCTCTTTTCCACCATCTGTAAACTGCCACGCCAATAGTGTCTCCTGGATAGTGTCGGAGCTGATTCCAGGTGCCAGTTAGGAGCGTAAGATGGGGGTTCCAGGGTGAGTATTTGGGGAGCCCTCTCCGAGGACAGCACCTCTGAGCTGAGACTTGAAGGAATCCTTAGAAGATTTGAGAAAACACAGGCAAGGCAGAGAGACCCGTGAGTGGAGGGCCGCCATGTACGGCTGTGTATGTTGCGCACTGCCAGAGCACTGCAGACTGGACTGTTTACACAGGCAGCATCCAGCACAGGGCAGGAACAGGTCTGCAGGCCATCCAAAGGCTGGATCACTGAGGAGGCTGGCGGGGAGGGCAGAGAAGTGGGTGGGGGCTGGGTCCTCAGGGCCTGGAAGGCAGAGGTGAGTTCACGTTCTGCTCGGAGGGCACTAGGGAGCTACAGAGCGTTCTGGGGCAGGAGGGCCGTGGTCAGCTGTGCCTGCAGCCGCTCCCGAAGCCCTGACTCACGTCTCCTTTTACTGCAGGCCGACTCGGGGGGACCCCTGGTGTGCAGAAACCGGGCCCACGGCCTTGTCTCCTTCTCGGGCCTCTGGTGCGGCGACCCCAAGACCCCCGACGTGTACACACAGGTGTCCACCTTTGTGGCCTGGATCTGGGACGTGGTTGGGCGGGGCGGCCCCCAGCCCGGCCCCCTGCCTGGGACTGCCAGGCCCTGGGAAGGAGCCCCCTGAGCCACTGCCTTGCGGCATGCAAATGAGATCACTGCTCTGGGCCTGGAATGTTCCGTGGCCGGGGTGGGGGGGTCTGTGGGGCTGCAGACACCGGAAAACCTGATGTGCAGGGTTGGGGTGGGGCCGGTGACGGGTGGGGGGCCCCCATTCCGCATGCAAAGGGCTGAACAGAACCCAGTAAAATGTTAAGTGACGTTCAGCCTCTCCCCGTCCCACCTCCAGGCCTGGCGCGTCTCCTTGTCCACAGCCTCTTCCCCCCACACCATCCCCCACCGTGAACACCTCTGGGTCTCCCTCCGCACCCCTGCCCTGCAACCCACACTCCGGAGCCTCCGCCGATGCCCCGTTCTCCACGAGCGGGCTCCTCTGCAGGGTGTGGGGGCCGAGGCGGCCACGCGGTGGGATCCCGAGAGGCCTGGCGTTCACCCTCTGAAAACCACAGAGAAGGGCGCCGGGCACACACCACGTCCCAGATGATGTTATTGTCACGGCTGGTTATTGCGTTATTTTAGTTTTAGATTTTATTGTTGTTATCGTTATTTTGAGACGGAGCCTCGCTCTGGCGCCCAGGCTGGGTACCGCAGTGGTGCGACCTCGGCTCACTGCAGCCTCCACCTCCCGGGTTCAGGCGATTCTCCCGCCTCAGCCTTCTGAGCAGCTGGGATTACAGGCACACGCCACCAGACCGGGCCATTTTTGTATTTTTAGTAGAGACGGGGTTTCACCATATTGGCCAGGCTGATCTCAAACTCCCGACCTCGTGATCCACCCGCCTCGGTCTCCCAAAGTGCTGGGATGACAGGCGTGAGCCACCGCGCCCGGCCAATTGTGTGATTATTTTAGAAACAGGGTCTCACTGGGTCACCCAGCCTGGGTGCGATCACAGCTCACTGCGGCCTGACACCCTGGGCTCAAGCCATCCTCCCACCTCAGCCTCCTGAGTAGCCGGGGCTGCAGGGGCACGCTCCCATGCCTGGGTCATTTTTCTTTTCTTTGTAGAGACGGGGTCTCGCTATGCTGCCCAGGCTGATCTGGAACTCCCGTCCTCATGCCATCTGCCCGCCTCAGCCTCCCAAAGCTCGGGATTACTTGGGCGAGCTGCGGCCCAGCCCTAATCCTGTTGCTATTCTTGCTGTTGCTACGCTCAAGTCTTCGAGGCCGAGCCCCCATTTCTGGGCCCCAGGCCAGCCGGTTTCTTAGGGCTGCCCTAAGCCATCTTGACCATCCTGTGTGCCCCTCCCAAAAGGCATCTTTTCTCTCCCTCCCCTCCTGGGCTCATCCACTGCCTGGAGGGCAGTGAGACCCAAAGCGGCCAGAGGCTGCCCAAGGACCAACGCAGCAGCTCCGGGGTGTCTCTTCCGGGTGCTTCTGGAGCAGCACCCAGGCCCCAGGCTGCCAACCCCATAGCCTGAGGGGGGGCAGCTTGAAGCCCTGAGAGAGGAGACAAACTGAGGCCTGGACCCTCAAAGTGGTTTCTTTGAGTCTTTATTTCTTTGGTGAGGCAGGGCCCCAGGGTGGGGAGGGCAGCCTGGTCGGAGGCTCCCATAGACCCCCCCAGCCCAGGGGCACTTTTCTGGGCACCACAGGTAAGGCACTGCCTAGGGGGGCTGCAGGAGGATGAGTATGCTCCCCGCACCCCTCACCCCCGAAGCGGGAAGGGGTTTCCTCCACCTTGTCTCCTCCCCATAGCTGGTTTGAGGTTCTGGTCTACAAACAGGCACAGGTGGGGGATTCCGAGCGTCGGCCCAGATCGAGGGGAGGGTGAGCCATCGAGGGGAGCTGGCCCATGACCAGCACCTGGCTGGTGTCGCCAGCTCCAGCTATGCTGGTGGGTCTGGCTGGAGCCTGGGTCTGCAGGCCTGGCCGGGCGGGCTGTGCGGGACCCAGGAGCCCTGTGTGTGAACGCCGACGTGGAGGCAACAGGCACCTGGTGGTGGTGCTGGGACCCTCGGCTCCAGGACTCCGGGATGCTACACATGTGAGTCTTGGTGCTGACACCCCCCTCAGGGCTGGTGGGTGAGCACGGGCCCGAGGTCCCTCCCAGAGACCCCCCCACAGTGGACGGGGCCGCCCCAGACACGGTGCCCTGCTCTGAGCTGCGGCTGGCTGCTCCACGTCTGAGACCACGCGATGTCGCCTCATAAACTGATGTGGACCGCAGCGGGGAAGGCGCTGGGCGGTTCTGTGGCTGAGCATGGCCCATGTCAGGAGCACAGGCAGTGCCCTTTCCCAGGGGCACACTGGGGATTTCTCAGTGGCCTTCACAGTACGCAAAGGGGCACACAGAGGCAGTGGGGAAGCTGGAGTTCATGGGCTGGTAGGAGGGAACAGTGGCAGCCTTCCTGGCCTTCATGAAGGGTCTCTCCTGCTGGGTAAGGTCACAATGTTCTGAGGTCCATCCGTACACACCCAGGTTAGACCATTCATGCACACCCAGGCTAGACCGTCCATTCACACCCAGGCTAGACCATCTGTACACATCCAGGCTAGACCATCCATTCACACCCGGGCTAGACCATCTGTACACATCAAGGCTAGACCAT